TGTGTGAGGTCAGATCCTCCATCTGTGTGAGGTCAGATCCTCCACCTGAGTGAGGTCAGATCCTCCATCTGTGTGAGGTCAGATCCTCCACCTGAGTGAGGTCAGATCCTCCATCTGTGTGAGGTCAGATCCTCCACCTAATGAGGTCAGATCCTCCACCTAATGAGGTCAGATCCTCCACCTAATGAGGTCAGATCCTCCACCTGTGTCTCCATCTATCAAACAGGCCGATTCAGAGAAAGTTCTCAGCCTGTTTTCCTCTCCACTTTCTCAGTTTCTGCATTAATCTGCGAGATGTGAGCGGCAGCAACATCGTCCTTCATCTGAACCCCCGCGTGAAGAAAGGAGTCTTCGTCAGAAACTCCTTCCTATCCGAGTGTTGGGGCCCCGAGGAAACGAACCTGGGCTCCTTCCCCTTCGCAGCGGGGGAGTACTTCGAGGTGAGCTTTCCCGTTTTCCTCCACGCTGTGAATCTGGATCCACTTCTGGCTCTAAGTTCTACCCTCCTCTTATCCCCGCTGCAGATGATCGTTCTCTGCAACCAGCAGCACTTTAAGGTGGCCGTTAACGGACTCCACCAGTTCGACTACAAACACCGAGTCCAGGACCTGAGCTCCATCGGCCACCTGGAGATCCAGGGAGACGTGTCTCTGCTGGACGTCAGGACGCTCGGAGATCCGCTAAAACGTTTAACCGCCTGATTATGAAGACGTCCTCTCTGGTATTAACATTAATATTTTCTGAACTATTCAGGGTTTAGTTGTTTACAGCCTGTAGGGGAGGCGCTCCCCCTGCTGGTTCGAATCGTCACTGACCCTCAAAGAAGTTTGTTTTTTATGCTCTGGGAACGTGAAGAAGAAAAGTTGGTTGATTGTGACTGATTTTGTTTTTACAATGATATAAAATAACCATATAAACTGAGTTGTGGGGATCTTTGTTACCAAAATGACTAAACATTAACACAGAATTAATGATAAACTGTATTTGATGAACAATGATTTCTGACGATCCAGTAAAATTACAAATATAACATTTATAATATGCTGAAGATTCTCCATCATCCAGGTCAGTCATTCCAAGTGGATTGTTTTTTCTTTTTAACTTTTTTGGAAAAACATGTATAATTTTAATCATATTTATAATTTAGTATTAATGTTTGTAAGGAAGTGACATCTAATACCTCCTTATTACAATCTTCCTGATTCCTCTAACTTATGACACTATACCACTTCATTAATCAAATAAACTTTTTTGGAAAAACATGTAGAATTTTAATCATATTTATCATTTAGTATTAATGTTTGTGAGGAAGTGACATGTAATACCTCCTTATTACAATCTTCCTGATTCCTCTAACTTATGACACTATACCACTTCATTAATCAAATAAACTTTTTTGTAACTTTATCTTTTGTAATTTTTCATAAATAAAACAAATGTAATACAAAACAAAAAACAGTAATATACAGAAAGACACAAACAGAAAAAAAAAAATCAAAAACAAGGACAATAAATTGACAGGTTTGGTTAATTTTCCCAGAATATATCTGATATAAATAGCCTTGATATCATTTAGCATTGATTTTACAGCATATATTGATTTATTAGGGTCAGTACATGCACAGTGCATTTAAATTTGAATCATTACTATCATTTCAACCATAGTTTAAATACATAAACAGTAGCTGCATAATAAAGGCCAGTTCACAATATTTATGTAATTTGCATTTCTTTTATAAACCATTTTTTGTCAAAGTAATTTTCCATATTCTCCACATTCAGTTCAACTTTTTATAATCTTAATCCATTTAATATCCAGTGAATTACTTTTTTATAGCTGTAATGTAAATATACTTTTCATCTGAATTTATAGTTATTGGGATTTTTTCCTAATTTTTTCCTAAATTTCAAATAAATTGATTTACTCTAACTTTCATCCAATTAGTCATAATCCAAACCTGCTCACTGACTAGTAGCAGCCGATGCTCACCTTCCTTCTCGTATCGTTTGAGCCATAAAATGTTTTTCAGCATTGAATGAAATTCACCTTTTCATCTTGGAGCAGGTAACTTAGAGTTGCAAGAGAATATTTTAGCATTTCTAACCTTTAATTGAACATTAACAGGATTTGTTTCAAGTCCTGCAGCAGAAGAAAATTTAACCCCATCCCAAATTATGTATTTTATCATAAAATGGTTGAGAATTTTCCAAACGAAGGCACAGCCTGATAGTTTGCACTAATTTAGCTGCAGCGTTTTTCACTTTACAGCTTAATATCCAAACTAGTTTGGAGAAAGTTAATCATCCTGACAGGCGACCTTTCATATTACAACTACAATGTACTATCATGGGTACTATACACCCATGATAGTAGGAAATGGTTCTAGTGATAAACTCACTTTGAGGAAAAAGTGCATATTAACTAACATTACAAAATTGTTCCATAGATCAACCATGAAATCAAGAATGCAGAATATTTTTAAAGCCAATCAGACTTGTTGATTGAGCTTAAGGTCCAGCTTTATGAAAAAGTAAAAGAATAACTGACCTGGGAAAAAAAATAAACCTTGTAGGCTGGAAATTTTAAGGATCTTTACATCAACATTCAGAATGAAGAGCTTTGTGTTTGACTTAAACGATGAAAGATTTGCCATTTCATAGAGTGATGTTCACTTTCTATGTAATCATAAGTGCTAAACCAGATGACAGATACCACTGGCTGCATACATTTAGGGTTTGAGCTTAAATTAGTGAAGTTTTACAGCTTTTAGTTGCTGTTAAGTCATCTCCCAGAAATGATTGAGACATTTTAACCATCCAGCCCTAATCAGAAAGTTCTGATCGGACATCCTGGATACGTTAGGACGGGTTGACCCCGAAACATTTCATTTTCTAAACAAAATGATTCAGCAGTGTCTGAAAAAACTTCATTTCCTTTATTGTTCAACATATAAAATTGATAAAATTAGTTCAAAATGGGCAGTTTAAAAAAAAAAAAAAAAAGTTCTGATGCAGAAAAATCACATTTCTAACAAACTTTATAAAAAGTTTAGAACCACAGAGGCAGCTGCTGCTCTGCATGAATTAGTCCCATCATGCACCGGGGCAGAAAGAAAACTTCCTGTTCCTTTCAGAAGTCGGCGTCCAGTCTGAAGGATTTGTCTGTTGGGGTCGACATGACGCCCATCCTCTGGTACTCTCCAACCCGCTTCTCAAAGAAGTTGGTCTTTCCCTCCAGAGAGATGTTCTCCATGAAGTCGAAGGGGTTCTCCACCCTGTAGATCTGCAGAGAAACAGGACAGGAGGTCAAACCCTGCTGAGCCGTTAGCAAGAGGACTGAGAGGCTGCAGGCGTGTTCAGACGGGCGTCTGTGTCGCCCTGCTGCCGATCCTGACAGAACCACATGTTCCTGATCAGTTCCTGCAGCAGAGCTCAGCCCCCATCACTGGCTGAGGTCCGTACCCCTGCGCGGATCATCACCACACCCCCTGCTGCCGCCAGAACCCTCCCAGCTCCGGTTGTGTCCGTACCTTGGAGAAGCCGAGCTCCAGCAGCAGCCTGTCGGCCACAAACTCGATGTACTGCTTCATCATGTCGCAGTTCATCCCGATCAGCTTGACGGGCAGAGCCTCCGTCAGGAACTCCTGCACAGAAACACAAGTTCTGGTCAAACATGGCGGAACCAGAGAGCCCAGCGGCAGGAGGAAGCAGAACAGCGGCCGCCCCCCCACCTGCTCGATCGCCACGGCGTCCTTTATGATCTTGGTGACGGTTTCTTCCGACGGTTTGTTGACCAGATGCTTGAACATGAGACAGGCGAAGTCGCAGTGCAGACCCTGAACGCAGCACAGAGACAGTTAGAGCTGAACCAACCAGAACCGGACGGGTCGTGCAGAACGGCGCGGGCGGTCAGTCACCTCGTCTCTGCTGATGAGCTCGTTGCTGAAGGTCAGGCCGGGCATCAGGCCGCGTTTCTTCAGCCAGAAGATGGCGGCAAAGGAGCCAGAGAAGAAGATTCCCTCCACGGCGGCGAACGCCACCACACGCTCTCCTGAGAAATCAGACACCTGGTCAGCATCATCACCATCGTCAATGGCAGCGCTATGATGTCAGAGGGCGGGCGGGGTTACCGTAGTTGGCGTTCTTGTTGCCGATCCAGTTGATGGCCCAGTCGGCCTTCTTCTTCACACATGGCAGAGTCTCGATGGCGTTGAACAGGTATTCCCTGAGGGTCATTGAACACACCGTCAGAGAAAGCTGAGCCAGAGAGAGCTCCCAGTCTGCCCAGTTAGAGCAGCTCACCTCTCACTGGGATCCTTGATGTAGGTGTCGATCAGCAGGCTGTACATCTCTGAGTGGATGTTCTCCATGGCGATCTGGAAACCATAGAAACACCTGGCCTCTGTCACCTGCACCTCCTGGGTGAAGCGCTCCACCTGGTGGTCAAAAGAGGGAACAACCATGAGGAAAAGGGGTCCAGGAAGGAGCCGCCTTCTAAAACACAATCTGCTGGTTCCTCACCAGGTTCTCGTTGACGATGCCGTCGCTGGCGGCGAAGAACGCCAAAACGTACGAGATGAAGTGACGCTCGTCTGGTTTCAGAGACTCCCAGTGCTGCAGGTCTTTGGACAGATCCACCTGGACAGATGGGAGGAGCTAATGAGACGAACTGATCGATTCTTCTCTACAGCATCGTAGGCTGCATTCATCAGACTCTGCAACATCTAGATTCAATTTTAATAAATGTTTGATGTTCCGCTTCGCTTCATTTTTGGTTCTCTGGGAACAAATCTCATGATTCCTATTCAAGGGTTTCCTTCGCCTCATCAGGAAACCGATTCAGTTCCTAAATCAGAGTCTGATTAGATGATTTACCTCCTCGGCCGTCCAGAAGGAAGCCTCCGCCTTCTTGTACATCTCCCAGATGTCGTGGTACTGGATGGGGAGGATGACGAAGCGCCGAGGGTTCTCCTTCAGCAGAGGCTCCTCTTCCTCAGAGCTGCTTTTCTTCACAGCTTCAGGCTGGAACACAGGGTCAAAGGTCAGTTCAAGAGCTCAGAGATCAGTCCAGTTTGTTTCCCCACGTCTGTTTCAAACTTTGCATTAGAAGATTTTCATTTCAGTTAAAATAAATTATATTTGGGGGAAACACTTTTCTAGCCATTAAAGTTTTAAAAACCTTAAAGTCTGGGTAAAGCTGAGAAAGCCCAGCAGTCAAATATCTTTGTTTATAAATGTGACAAATGCAAAGGCTCCGCTGCAATCTTGGCCACATGTTTGTCCAAAATTATATAATTTTTGGTTAATCATGCCTTCTGTCTTGAAAGCAAATTTGCAACCTTGTCAACTAGTTGCTATATTTGGCATCCTCAACCCTACTTTAGTGCCAAGCTCTGCTCAAAATATTGTTGCCTTTACATCTTTACTGCTAGACTTTACATTTACACCAGAAGTCTGATAAATATCCGAGTTAAACCCTCTGTAACTCAGTGAAATACTTAAGAAAAAAAATTTCAAGCCAATAGTATTATTGGAATCCAGGACAAGACCTTATTACCTTTGCAACATTGAAAAAAATATGGATATTTTTATGGCAAAAATTAATGACAATGTAACAAGAAACGCCAACTTGCCCAAATATATTAAGAAAAAAACAACAAAAGTGCTTCAAATGTTCAAGTGCGAGATCTTTATGCAGGGGTGGGTTTGTTCCCCTTAGGGGAATGAGTTTAGGGTGTAAGGTATAAAATGTAGTGAACTGCTGCAGTCAGAGAGCTTTTATATGCTCACCGTCTCATGCAAGGACGTTAAATAAAATTTATCATCTTGCAAGAAATGTTTCCGACTCAGTTTCCCTACTTCACATTAAAACTAATAGGCAGCCATACAATTTTTTTCATCTAATCAAAGTGAGTGAAATAACAGCAGATCACAGCTAGTGCACCCCCCATCTGCAAGGCTCTTTGTTTGATCTTGAAGAAGCGGCCGGCGGCAAACTTCCTGTTTTTCCCTCTGACAAAATGAGCCAATTTCATTGGCTGCTAGACGTGTCGATCACTTTGGCTCGAGTTCACCAAAAAGGTCAAAACATTTGCAGTTGAATTTTTTTGCAGTCGAATTTTCAGATAAAAATTCAGTGTAAGGGATTCAATGTGTAAAAACAAAAAACTCCAGCGTTTAAAATTTGTTGTACAAAGAAAAAAAGGCAGATTTCAGCAAACCATTTTCTTCCATTTGTACACATGATGCACATCTTTTTTTTTCCTCTTTTCGCTTGAATAAAAATACATTAAAAAGAAAGAAATTTGCCTGCATTTGCTAAACGCTCCATGGAGGAATACATTAGAGTTGCAGAAATATCTAAGGTCTCAAAGCTAGTCAGTGATGTCATGGAAACCAGATTCAAGTGAGGTCCGATTGTCGCCACAATCAGCAAATTTGATCCGGTCCAAACAGGACAGGTTGGGTTCTATTCAGGAATGTTTCCATGAACTCACCGTGAAGATCTTCTGGGCGGCTGCGGACGCCAGGAGGCGGCTGCTGCTCAGGCTGGGAGGCTGTGAAGGAAACAGACGTTCAGGAAATGTTTTTATATAGAAACAAATTGATGGTTCAGAAGGAAAAATTTTCTGTTTAGTTCTAATTACAAGATACAATAATGTCTCCTGAAGACACAGCAGCATCAACTTCTGTGTAAGAGTTAAGAGACTGGTTGGTTTAAAAAATAAAATTAGAGATCTGAAAAATCTGTTAGACATACAGAGCTCTTTCAGCTAAAAATGGCAGATAAGTTTATACAAGTTATTAATATAATGCAAGAAGCTTGAGAAAACCCATGTTTAAATGTAGTGTTAGTTAAAAAAGCTGGGCTGCTCAGAGGACCATCAGTTACAGGTTAAAATTAACATGTTTACTTATTGATCAGACAGAATCAGACTGCAGAGCTTCTACAGATCTAGACATTTTGTTTCTGGAATCATTTTATTAATAAAAAGGTTCATTAATCTTTCTAAACAGATCACAGAGAGAAGCAGGGAGAGCTGCAGATTTAAAGGGGAAACAGATTTACTGGGACATGCTTGCAACATGCAGTAAAATATATCTCCATGTTTACAAGAAAAAAAAAATTGCTATGCTATAATTAAAATTCAGCATATTAATAGCTTTTAGGGATGCAAGATTTATTGAATTTGGCATTGCAATTGTTATTCCTCTTTTTTATACATTAATGTTTTTGTGCCCTATAAATGTAACGCATCTCTCCAACCATCTATAACTACAAATATCAGTGTTCTGGTTCTCTTGTGTTCAACAATAGGAAACCATTCAATAAATTTATGTTTGAGCTCATTTTTGGAAAATACAAAACCCCTAATGAAAGCATTCGGGTGGAGTAACTGTAGGTCCATCAGCCCCCACCCTTAGACCAGGGGTGGGCAGTTGTAGTTCCTGGGGGCCGGTATCCTGCAGGTTTTAGCTCCACCCTCGGTCCATCACACCTGAATCAGTTACCTCCTCAGCATGCAGTCTGTTCCTCTCAATCATCTAATTACTGGATCCAGGTGTGTTGAACCAAGGGCACATCTAGAAGTATCAGGAAACCGGCCCCCCAGGAGCTGGAATTGCCCACCCCTGCCTCAGTGTGTCCCCACCAGCTTTTATTCCAGAGTTACTCCCTGGGGTGCATTAACAGCGATGCCTGGAGCCCATAGAGCCAAACACTATTGGTGCACATGTTTCCATAAAGTCATGTGACGGATAAAAGAGCTGTTTCTAACTGACTCACTAAACTGTTTAAAAAATATATATTATCTTTTGCAGTTTATCATTCAAAATCAAGAATTTGAGCAGCCTGAGAAGAATAGGAACGTTTCAACCGTTGCATTTTTTATTTTCTCACCATGTCACTTTTCCTCTCAATCACTCAACTTAAAGTTAATTTCAAATTGACTTTTAATTTACCATTTATACTGTACTTATTTCTTAATAAATAAATATTTAAATATTTAAATATTAAATATTTAAAATCCCAGTCCACCAGCATCCTAATTTCCCCCTAAATTTACACTTCATGATACATGTTCACATTTATTGGCTGCATCTAAAAATATCA